GTGTTCGTGTTCCATTCCAGAAATTAAGTTGATAAATAAAATGCCAAAAAGGCAGCCGCTCAGCGTGAAAGATGAAAACATTGTCAAGTAGCAGGACGGACCACATCATCGAATGATGATTGGCATCGCAGCAGCCAAACCAGGAGCAGGAGCAGGAGCAGGTCACGTGCCGCCAGTCAAATCGACGAACGCCAGCCAACCGCCGAGCAACAACATCACCATCAGCCAGCCAGCCAGCCAGCCTCTGGCTCTTCGATGGGAATATGGCTTTTGAGTGTATGTAAAACGAATATTCAATACCCTAACCACAACAAGCACCTTTTCGAAGGATTTCCCTGTCTTGTTCAAGCAAAGAATGCACTCTTTCCCCGTAACGAATCTATTGCTAAAGGAAGGACTGATTGGCCAACAAAGATCCAACCAAATTCGAGCTTGGACTCCTTCAATGGTATCTTTTTTCTTCCTTATCTCCCGTAGATACATTCATTCGAATAATTCCGAATAATTCGAACAATAATTGATGTATATTTAGTTGCACAGAAAAACCGAATATTTATTTAAATATTGGTGTGTTTCTTCGTACTTTACCATTTACGTTGCCATATATTTTTCACAATTTGTATAATTCGAAAATAGTTCCTTTAATTATTACTTGTATAAATATAATCCCGCTTGAGGGAGATTCCCATTCATTAAATTCTTATAGCATTTTCCTACTATCTATATTTCTGTACAAAATTGCACTTCAACTAATCAGTGGGCCAAATAATCTTTAAATAGTACTCGTATAATGCATATATAAGACTCTTAAATGATATCTTCGGGCAGGTATTCCTTGGGTACATTTTCTGTATACATTTTTTGCCGAGTATCTTTAAGGCGCTGCCAACTGATTTGTCAGAGCTGGTTACCAAAAATTGATAGCAGCCTGTACTCTCGCGAACCCGAAAATTAATTGGCATTTTCTTTGTGGACAAATCTCTGTGTTCTATCTGTGGCGGAATATCTACATGGAACCTTATCGTGGAAATGCGGCCAAATCAGGCGGCGGCAAACGGCAGGCGGCAGGGAGGCCTGTCTGTCCTTCCAATGTCCTACCAACCCCCAAAAAAAGGGAGCGGCCTTCGAAAATAATGAGACACAGGTCGTGTGTGTGTTTTGTGGGACTGAAAATTGGGTAACTTTGACTGGTCCTTGAGGACCATCTCATTTCATTGCCGTTCCTGTGTTTGGGGGGAGGAGTGGGGAGGCGGGGAGGTGGGGAGGCGGGGAGGTTACGCGATGCTAAAAGGCGCAACGCAAAGATTAAAAACAATTTTTTCAGGGGGCCGGGGCCCCTGCGAAGAGCATCTCAATTTGCTGGCTTCTTCAGGCGACGGCGATGTCCCCCCCCCCCCCCCCCCCCAAGGCAAGAGCCCAAGCGATTCCTAGACCCGCAAACTGCACTCGACGAAGCCTCATAAATACCGAATTAGTTGGTAATTCTATAAGCAACACGCGCCCATTGATGGCGACGACTACGACTACGACGACTACGACGATGACTGACGATGATGATGGAGATGGAGATGGATTGGCAGGGAACTGGGGAACTGGAACTGCGAGTCGCGTGTCTCTCTCTCTCTCTGTCTCTGTCTAGATAACAATAGAGGGCACAGCATTTGAGAACTTTGGGAATAGGAATAGGAATCCGAAACGGAATCGGAAACGGAATCGGAATCGATGTATCTGCCAGATAGAGAGGATGCTCTGAGGATGCTCAATCTGAATTGAAGGCACGAGCGGCACGTGCCACATGGTGCGACAATTAGCCGCAAATGGCAAATGAATTTCCAGCATTTTCATTAACATAATTAATAGAAAATAATAATAATCGAAAGGGCGGCAGTCGGTAGTCGGTGGTCGGGATTAACCTCCTCTAAAGTTAAGGATATACGTCTATTGTATTTGTGTTTGAGCGGAATACGTAGTGGATGGAATAAGAAGCCACTTTTGTGCTGTTTTGTGCTGGGGCGTGGCATGTTTTTATGAGCTGAATTAATGGTTTATGATGATGATGGCTGACTCGACTCAGAGTCGAATCGGAGTCGACTCGCCCTGCCTCGATTCGTTTCGTTTCGTTTCATTGTCAGGGAGTCGCCTCAACAATTGTTGTCAAGGCGCAGACGGTCGAAGTCGAAGGGCTTTTGGGATCAGAGAGACTCCTCGACTCACTCGACAAAGCCGCAAGCCACAGAGGCAGACGCGGACGCGTGCCCCAAACGAATGCCAATAAATACAAAAACACAAACAAGGCGCAGAGGAAACAGACGACGACGACGCTGGCACAGAAGGTTTTTGGGGTACGAGTATATTTTGGTAGCTGCTGACGATCGGGTTATTTACTGAGCCGAATTCCAAGGATCTCTTAAGCCGAAGCCGCCACACACCACAACTTCAGTTTGAGTAATTTATCCCCATCCATCCAATCAGGTGTGTATCCGGGTAGCCCCCGAGAGTTTGGAGAGGATTATGGCAAATTGCATTCACTAAAAGTCAGAAATATTGATTCTACATTTCCAACTTATTTCGGCTCTGCTTTGAAATTCTCCCCTTCAGCGGTGCACTATCTTGTATGTACAGATGTACAGATCCTTTCCATAGAGTAGATATCCCTAGCCTCATTTTGTGACCCGAAAATCCCAAAAAGAATTCGTGATGCACTCAAACTACAGCTATAAATAAGAGTCATTTATGACCATTTCAGAAGATATTCCTATTCCTTGCCGGAATGGCAGTAGTTTTGCCAGTACTCAGAGCTCTACTTTCGCATCATGGACTCTGAGTTTTTTGCCTTTAAATTATCCATCCTTGAAACGCCATCAATTTCGAAGGTATTATTCTTCTTTCATGGAATTAATAGCATAGAATCCTGTAGAATCTCAAGACCTGTAGAAGCTTTCAAATAAATAAAAAGATGGATCATCGTTTTTTCTTTATATATATATATTATTCATCTGATCATATTTTTGTGAACTTTTTACAATTATTTTAGTTTTTCTTTCGGTTTTTATAATTAAAAAAAAAAGAATTAACCAGTTTGCTTAAACATTATCATATAATTATGTATAATATATATATATATATATATATATATATGTGTGTGTATATATGTATATATATAGGGATCGATTGTATATGGATCCGCTCTTAAATATTATCAACTAATTTTCGTGTTTACATTTCTTTTCCACCTTTATTTGTTTTTTGTTTTTAGATTTTTGTTTCGTTAGCCTAAAATATTTAACCCGCGGAAAAAAAATGCCCTTAATTTGTAAGTGAATTAAATGCTAAATTTTCTTCGAGTTTTTCTCTTTTGCATACGCACATGCATGTGTGTGTAGGTGTAGGTGTAGGTGAAAGTGTGTGCTTAGGTGTTTGTGTGTGTGGTGTGTGTGTGTGTTTTTAAAACAAATCTTTTAAGCTTAAATTACAATTCAATTGAAATTAAAACTAAACAAAAAATGTATGAAAAAACCTCTCCATTGAACTAACTTTTGTTTCGTGTATGTGTGTGTGGTGTGGGTGTGTGTGTGTGTTTTCGATTCTTTAAATATTACAAAAGTTTTCATTTATTTCTTTTATATATATATCATATTTTATGGAGAACATGTACACGCACACATACAATATACTATATGTATACATATAAGTATATACATATATCATACACTCAATATAATATATATGCATATAGTTGTCAAGATTCTTACGTTTTTTTTTTTTTTTTTGTACATTTTTGTTTTTATACTTGTTTTAGATTTATGCTTCTTTAAATTATTTTATAAATATTTACTCTTGTCATTTGAATTCTTCGCTTTTGGATTGTGGCTTGTGTTTTTTTGTGTGTTTTATTTGCAATAAAATTTCCTATATTTAAATCAATAAATGGTTTACATACATACATATGTTCTCGATCCATTCATCCATTCACCGCATTCAGATCTCGCTTATGTTCTAGATACTTCTCTCATGTGTGTCTGTCTGTCTGTGTGTGTCTGTGTGTGTGTGTGTGTGGCTTATATGCTTTTGAAGTCTGAAATGTTAATTCGCTTTTCGTGTTTTTTCTTTTAGCTGATTTAGGTTCGGTTATTCCCCCGAATATATATACTATATATCCATATATAACCATATACATATATGTAGAACTATCTTTTGTTTTTTGTTTTTTATTTATTATTATTTAAAGACAACAAAATGATGATTTGAACTTGAAACTTCTTTTTTTCTTTTTGTTTTTTTTTTTTGCGTTATTTAAAGAACTTGAAACTTGGAATTATGGGTTAGATATTATGATATGAGAGCTGATCTATTTCCATTTTCCCCTGCCTCCCTGCCTCCCTGCCTCCGTACAGGGGAATGTGGAATCCTCCTGCTCGGGTTCTGCTCTTCCGTTCTGCTATATAGGGCATGGGGGGTCCTACTACATACATATTGCATCTCCCCCCTTACCCCCTTCCGAATCTTCTGAGATCCCGCGGGCATACTCTTCGATTATTAACAAATGTGTTTTTGCTTTATGTTTTTTTTTTTTCTTTTTATCACTCATTTACTTCGTTGATCCTGGCGGCTTAGGCTAGATATATATATGTGTATATATATGTATGTGTACCCTCTATATATATGTATCGGATGTATCGGGATAACTCTCTGTCTTTCTATACACGGATCCATTTTGTATTTATATATATATATACTCGTTTTTATATTTAGAAAAAAAAAAACACTTTTATTAACTATAAGAAAAAAAAAATTATTTGAAATATTTTTGAGATATAGAGAGTGAGAGGAGGGTTGGGAAGGGAAGGGGAGGGGTCTGGAGGGTAGGGGAGTGTGTGTGTGTGTGTTAGATATGTATGTGGGAAGGATCCTTTAGCCAAAGGAGTGACCCCCCAAATGTGACTCCTGATCCTCGTGCTGCTGCTGCTGCTGCCCCTGCAGCTGCTGCAAATGATGTGGCAGCTGATGTTGCTGCTGCTGCTGCAGCTGCTGATGATGATGCTGCTCCATTTGCAATTGTGGCGATCGCCCGCTGCTGCTGCCACTTGCAGCACTCCCCGTGCCACTGCCACTGCCACTGCCACTGCCACTCGCACTGCCGCTCCCCGTGTTGCTCGTGCTGCTCGTGCCGCAGTACTGGAAGAGTAGATTCTACACCATATTCGCATACTTATCCTGCGGCGACATGTAGTCGAGGCTGTTCTGCGAGAAGGCCTGGGCGGACACAGTGCCGGTGAAGCTGGGCGAGGGCGAGAGGCCAAAGTTGGAGGCCGTGTACCCCGAGTGGCCCATGTTGTAGTTCACCTGGTTCTGGTTGCTGAAGTACTCCATCTGGGAGTAGTAGCTGGGCGCCTGGGCGTAGTTGTTGGGGTACTGCTGGTACTGGTTGTGCCAGAAGTTGTACGAGTCGTGGTTGGACATGTAGGCCGAGTGGGCCGAGTGGTGGGCGGACTGGGCCGATTGCGCGGCATGTGCGGCCGCTGCTGCCGACTGCGGCGACATGGGGGTGATCGGCGGTGAGGGGGTGGTGATGCTGCTGCTGCTGTCCATCGGCGTGATGTTGCCGCCCGGCTGCAGCAGGCGGGGATTGCTGCCCGCCGCCGATCCGTAGATGCTGTGATGGTGATGCACCCCAGCGCCGATGTCACCGCCGGCGTCCTTCAGCTGATCGTATGGCGAGCGGAGCACATCCCCGGAGACGCCCACACCGACACCGACGCCACCGCCGACGCCGCCGCCCACGCCGACGCCGAGATTGAGGCCAACGCCGCCGGAGGAGCCAACGCCTCCGCCTCCACCGCCGCCGCCGCCGCCGCCGCCGCCGCCGCCGCCACCGTAGCCGCCCGTCAGGCCGTGCTCCTTCTTGCAGACGATGCTAACGGGACTGACGGAGGTGGCCGGGGTGGGGAGCAAGGGCGAGGAGTTCTGGTGCGCCGCCGTCACGTTCAGGGCGGCCGCTGCTGCTGCTGCGGATAGATGCGCGTGGCTGTGGGAGTTGCTGCCGCCGGTGCTGCTGCTGCTGCTGTTCGGCGTCGATCCGCCGCCGTTGTTGTTGCTGTTGTTGTTGTTGTTGTTGTTGTTGCTGCCGCTGCTGTTGTTGCCATTGTTGCCACCGCCAGATCCCCCAGCAGCTGCCGCAGCAGCGGCGCTCAGGAAGGAACTGTGATGCGTCTTGATCGACTGGGCCGCCGCCACGGCTGCCGCTGCACTGGCCGCTGCCGCCGCAGAGCTGCTGCTGCCACCGCCGCCGCCGCTTTGGCTTTGGCTCTGCTTTTGGCCGCCGGACTTGCCGCTGCCGCTGTTGTTGTTGCCACTGCCGCTGCCGCCGCCGCCGCCGCTACGGCTGTTGTTGGAGCCGCTGCAGCTGCCGCTGCCTGCCCCGCCGCTGGCGTTCTTGGAGCTGCTCAAGCTGTTCGACTGCTGCTGCTGCTGCAACTGTTGGCGGCACTTGGCGCGTCGATTCTTGAACCAAACCTGAAAAGAGTTGCAACAAAGAAGAAGCATTTAGTTTGGGGCTAAGATATGAAGTTTTCCCTATGAAACCTCGATTATCCCTATCCCGAGGGAAAATGTCTTCTGTTGTGTCCCTTGGAGTGTCCCTGCCACAAGTGCCGTGCCGCCTCAAGTGTTTGCTTTCCCTGTGTGTGGCAAGCGGCTGCAATTTTCCCACATCAATTAGTTTTCCGGACGGGCAATGAATAAATTATATAAAAGGAGGGGGTGGCACTGGCCCACACACCCACAACCCACAACCCACAACCCACAACCCACAACAAGTGCAAAAAGTCACGCGCTGCCGCCGGAAGAGACAGAGAGGGAGACAGGGAGGGAGAGAGAGAGAGAGAGAGAGAGAGAGGAAAAGTTACATCAACAGCCGCCGGCGGCGGACGGGCAGTCCCAAAAAATTGACTCGATTATATTGTCACTCTCTTGCACACCCACACCCACACCCACAATCTCTATCTTTCTCTCTCTCTCCGCAGGAAGAGAACAATAAACAGCCCATAAAGCGGGATACTCGAGCGAGAGGAATTCACTTAGCCTTGTTTGTTATGCTTAAGGGGCTGCAAACAATCCGCTAAGTGCACACAGCAGAGCAGTCCCACTCCCAGTCCCACTCCCACTGCCAGTCCCAGTCCCAGTCCCCGCCCCTGGCTACAGACACAGCCACAGCCAGAGCCACATCCACAGAAGAGATCCATCCCCACAGAAGAGTGAAAGAGAGAGAGAGATCTAACATCTAACTCCGTCCAACTCCAACCTTCAACCTCCAACTCAAACCAAAACCGAAGTTTGAAGTCGATGCCCGCCCCTTTGCAACATGGAAAATGTTATTTCAGTGATTTGTTCGGGCATACCCTCAACAGAGCGGGTATTCAGGGACTTGGGCTTACTTGGGCAGCCAGAAAATAGTGAATTTATGATCCCATAATACAGTAGAATCCCTGAATGGAACTTTCTTCTGAGAACATGCTCGAATCGCTCTCCACCTTAAGAGCTGCATTTGGAGATATGAGTTATAGATCGAATGGCAGCTTCCAAAGATATTCCTTTGTTCCTTAAGATATTCTGTAGCTTCAAGCTGGATCCAATCATCATTTAAGGGTATTTTCGAGGCATAGGGTATCTAGAACTTCGACCGCTCTTGATTCCCATTCATTTATTGGGGTTGGTGTTGCTTGCTAATGGCTTGTGCTTTGGTAAACAGCAGAATTTATTACCGAACTCCCACTGTCACTCCTCCTCTCGCCATTGAAGGGCGGGAAGGGGACCCATACCCCCGCCTCGGGCCAAAGTTAACACTTGCCACGCGGCGGCTGTGGCCACTCGAGCGTTTCATTGCAGTGTGTGCCACACACACACACACACACGCACACCCCCACTTGAGGCACGAAAAAAAAGAGCATTAAACAAGGCGTATCAAATTTCATTATTTGTCAGCAAAGGACGAGAGAGGGAGAGGAGAGAGGAGTGAGAAGAGAGAAGAGAGTAAGGGGCCCGAGCCCTGTGCCGTTGAAAATTCAATTTCAATTTTCAATTCAATTTTGAATTTGTAAAATCTCCTTTTGTGAATTGACTTTGAAACGGGACATCCCCCCCTGCCACTCCGCTTCTCCTTTGCGCTTCGCCTGCTTTCATTCCGTTTCCCCACAGACACCCCGCCGAATCGTTTGATATCGTTTAATGAACTGCGAGAAGAGAACTCCATAATTCTCGTAATATTGATAAAACTAAGCTTGGGAATTTTTGCAAATTTTAGCAGAAAATTTATACAACATTTTCCCATGATTTCCAATGATTAATCGGCAGCCAAAAAAAAACACAGGAACCCGATTCGATTTGTCCTTCTAATGAACTTCAAAAAAGAATAAAATCAAATCATACAAAATTGAATGCCAGCGAAACGGTAGGAAAGAGAACTTCAAAGAACTTTTTTTTTTTTTTAAATTGTTGGCTCGTTTGCGGTTTTACCTGATTTGTAATGGTTGGTTGGGGAGGGGGGAGGGACTGAGGGGATTGGGGCTTGAGGGGAGTTTGCTTGAATAGCTTTCAAAATTGATTCATTCGATGGAAGGGAGGATGGGCAGGGATTTACGCGAAGAAGAACCACCCGTTCTGGAGATGAGCTCTCAAATTTGATTTATAACAGAAAAATATGTAAATATATTTGATTTATCTATCCATTCTATATATATATACATATATCTGATTAGTAGAAACTCTAGTATATTTTACAACCTTGTTTATGTATATCGAATAATTTGTAGATTTTTAGGGATTTTCTATTGATCCATTGATCATTTTTCATTCGATTTCTTCTTGGGTTCGAGCTGGAGATCTAAGAAGATTAAAGTGTATTTCAACAGGGATATTATAGGCCACACTAGATGTAGGCCAAAGAGGGCTATTTATCCTTGAACTAATATTATAATCGCTGTAGGAATTTCCCCTATAAATGTTCTCAAGTGATAATGAACCCACTTCAAGGGGGATAACCCGATCAAATGGGGAAACTGTAAGCACAGCTTTTTCTTATTTGGAAAAGTCCTGGCATAAGTAATCTAATTTTGATTGCAATTGAAAAGTTGATCCTTTGGCTCTAAATTACTGTTTGTTTCGCTGGTGACTTTTCCCATGGCGTTGCCTTGGCTTGAAAATTGTACCACGTGGAACTTGATATTGCATTAACAAATGGGGGAAATTGTTAAATGGGAAAATGGAAAATTATGCGCTCGGCTTGCATAAATCTCGCTCTCTCTCTCTCTCTCTCTCTGGCCATACACACATACATATGTATGTGCTCTTACAGGAGGAGAGCAGGAAGGATGGGTGTGAGGGGTTGAGGAAAAGAGTGGAAATTGTTAATCCGCAATGGGAAAATTAATTTTATAAAACATCTGTGTGCTGGGTGCTGGGTGCTGCGTGCTGCTGCCCGTTTCTATACAAAAAGTTTTCCTACCTAAGCCCCCTCCCCGCCATGACACCACCACCGCTCGTCCCCTCTTCCTGCGACGCTCTCCCTTCCCTTAGCACACCTCTACCCCTCTCTCTCCTCTATACATATATGTACATGTCCCAATGCATTGCGTATCATGAGGAGGCATGAGAGGCAGCAGAGAACGAGACAAATCCTTTTACAAAAAAAAAAAAAGGAAGCAGAGATTTTTTGGAAAACTAAAAACAGGGAGAAAGGGAAAATGTGAAAAAGAGTTGACAAAGTTTCACTCACTCTCTCTCCCTCTCCCTCTCCCTCTCTCTGGCTTCTGTCTCTTAGTCTCTTTCTAGCGATTCTCGCGATTGCAACCCCCGACGGGGAAATCGAACAGCTGAAAACGAGGCTCAAATGCCGAGGTGACAATGGGAGGGAGGGACGCCATAAGGGTGCCTCTGCCCCCATACCATGCCCTTCCCCTGCCCCGTCCCCTTTCCGTCTTCTCTGGCTTGCATGTGATTTATGATTGCCAACAGCAGCGATGGCAGCGATGGCAGCCATCCCCGGTCCCGTTGCTACCCCTCTGGCGGCACTCCTCGTTTTTCGGGGCGAATGAAAACATTTTTGGGCGTAAATGTTTGCTCTGTTCTGGTGCAGATAAGCTGCCCGTAAAATTATTACGTTATTTGTATTGGCTGCAATCAACGCCCTCTCACTTAGGAGCATGCCACAGGCCACAGGCCACCCCCCTGGGGCAGGCAGCTACTGGGCCATAAAGATGCCTATCATTCAATTAATATTTACCAGACCTTAAGCCCCCCTCCCTGATTATGACTCCTGACGATGATTCTCGGCCACTGATTTCGGGGGGATTCGGGGATTCATTCGTTGATTCTGTTTCTGATTTTGATTCTGATTTTTATGCCGATTCCCGTTTCTGATTCAGACATTTTCCTCCATTCCTCCTCTCTGTCTCTCTCTTCGTTCTTTTGGTAATGATTATTTATGTGTTTTTCGTGCCTCTGGAAAATCCTTCGAAGGTGACCCTTTCATGGCAGAAACTAACGAGGTGACCCCGACCCCGACCACGACACCGACTCCGACCCCCCAAAGAAAACAATATAGTTATGGTGTAGAGATTTTTATGACTTCCTCCTCCTATCGAAGCCCCACAAAAACATCTGACCTCTCAATTTCAACTGTAGGCTTTTCTATGTACACATCTTTGATCTTTAAAAAGATCTTTCCATCTTTAGTTTTGAATATCCTTTTGATTCTATTCTTGCTATCCTTCTATCCGGATTCTCGGGGGTATCTCTCTGCTCTGTTCCACTTCTTTCCCTTTAAAAGCAGTCTAGTTTTTTTGCTAATTGAGTTGCTTGGCTTCCTGCCAAGCCCCACAAACCACCCACCTCCCCCATGAAAACCCCAAGCCCCAAACCAAAAACCAAAAGCCAGACGCCATGTAACATGCATACGAATCGTGTTTGCTTTTCTCTATTCTCTATTCTCTCTCCTTTTCCTTTTCCTATTCCTATTCCATTTCCTTTCCGTCTTTCTGTGGCGCTTTTTGGCATTTCCATTCGTGGCTTTGTACGGTTTTTCCTAGTTTTGTGCTGTAATCTGATACGTGAATGCATTGGCATGTTGCGTCAGGCACAGTGGGTCACAATCAGAGAAAACAAGAATTCCATCATCAAATGTCGCAGGCAGAAGCGACTAACGACCGAGCGACCGAGCGACCGAGCGACCGAGAAGTGAAGCCTGCATGACGCGTTCCCCACTTTGGGATCAAGTTTTTTCTTCATATTTGAACTTTTTTAAAGTTACTTTTGTCCCACTGTAACATACGTCTAATGCAAGCCCCGAGAAACAGGACGGCGACCAGAGAGAAAGAAAAGCAACGGACGACAGACAACAGACAACAAACACATATGGAAAATCTATACAAATTGTACATTCCACACCCATGGAATCCCCCATTCAGACAGACGTGTGTGGTGTGCATTACGGGAATCAATTGTGTAAAAAACGTCGGGGCATCGGTGACCAGTGGATGGGGCAAGAACATTGGACATTGGACATATGCAAGTTGTCCTTGCTGCAGCCAGGGCAGGGCACGGAACGTGTCGATTTTCACATCGACCCGAAAGACCACTGCAGGGGCTTCCTCTGTTGTTCTGTCTGTTGCTGCCATGCCACACAAATGCTGTGTTGCCCTGCTTGTTCTACGTCCTCTGTTTTGCTGTTGCTGCATTTTCTTCTGTGCCCCAAGCGACGCTCCTGCACTTCTGCATATCGTCTGCTGTTTCTACTACTTGGGATTGTGCCTCAGACACTGCTTTTCCTCTGTACTCCTTCCTTTAAAGGACCGAGGGGCAGTGCTGTACGACGCGATTGCTGGTTCTTCTGGGGCATTATCTGCAGCTTCTTCTGTGACAAAAGCTGTTTCTGTTCTCTCCCAATTTCCTGCCTCTTCTGTCACTGGCATTCACTCCTCCTTCTGCCACTGCAATGTCACGTCCTTAAATTACATTGTGGACAAAAGCAAAGAAAAGCAAAGCAAACGAAAGCAAAGCAAACAAATCGATAGATCAATGCCTCTTCCACATGCAACAACGGCTTCCGATTGCAATTTGGATATTGTGTCGTTTTGGATCGATCGGTGGCTTGTTTATCCAGGACATTACCAGGAGCGGTGAGAGGAGAGATGACAGTTCTTGCAGCAGCAGCAGCAGCCGGAAGCAGTAGATGATGTCTCTGTTTGATCGTTTCTCTTGGGCCATTTGGCAGTTGTTCGGGCCGACGGCGCTTGCCATCCCAATTCTGTGTTTGTTTAGGCCCGATCATTGGACATGGGCACGACGACACCTAAACAAACACACACACAGCGCGCACTGAATGGGCGAGAGAGATCCTTTAACAAATTGAGTTGTAAAACTCTCCTCTATCATCATCATCATCATCATCGTCATCGTCATCGTCAGGCAGGAGGCCGCATTTGGTTGACGGTAAAAATTAGCGCAAATTATGCTCGACTAATGCGTTGAGCAAACCTCCTCTCCGCTCCGCTCTGCTCTGCTCTGCTCTGCACCGTGTCCTTCTGTTGCGTATCCTGCCCTGGAGGGGTGACTTGTCATACCCCAAATTCCCTTGGCAAATAAACGCCGAATATATCTCATTTTGCAGAGGGGAAAAGTACACCAAATGCCGAATGCCGAATGCCGAATATCTTCCTCTATTTGCATTGAAAGTCATCAAATCTGTTCGCTCCATATGTGAACCATCCGGGACCATCCCCCCAAAAACCCGTCCGTAGAACCACATCCCAGAAACAGATTCCCTGGCAATCTGTTACCCGGGAGCTGTTGTAATTTGTTTGTTTTATGGATTTCTTTTTGGACTTTTCCGGGCACTTTTCCGCACGGGGCATTGGCTGTGCCTAATTAAACCGAATATCCGGCACCAGCTATACAAGTGTTTTCGCACTCCACTCCCATTCTGTCTGTTAAAGTTAAAGCTCACACATGTGCGGGTTAAGTGAGTGTAAGAAAAAACCAGTTGGCAGGTTGTTTTATTTCCCTTTGGGGTCGGAGGAGCAATGGGATACGGCCCAGGAGGAGGGATAAGGCAATAATTACCAAAGAATGAATCGAGGCACTCGTGGCTCAACACCATGCATAGAAGGTATGGTAGGTTCTATGGTAGGTCTTTGGGCAAAGATGGATGTATAATGAACAGATCTGTCTTTCATATGGATAACATAGCTGCACAGTAATCAAGGACTCTTACCTGTACTCGGGACTCGGGCAGATTTATCTTGAGAGCCACCTCTTCGCGCATGAATATATCCGGATAGCGGGTCTTGCCGAACAGTGCCTCCAGGACGTCCAATTGGGCGCGTGTGAATGTAGTGCGCTCCCGACGCTGTTTTCTTGTGTTGACACCTAAATGGTGGGTGGGGGTGGGGGGTGGGGGGAAAGGGAAAGGGAAAGAAAGTATTAGCCAGGGCGAAAAGATAGTGCCTGAAAGCCAAATGTGCTGAAGGTCTATTTCGAGGGCCAAATCAAGTATACGCCTCGTGGTCGTTCTACGGAAACTTTTCCCCGTAATATATTTTTTGGCGTGCTGGTTTCTGTTGTTTTTGTTTGTTGGGATTGCTGGGTTTGCTGGGTTTGCTGGGTTTTTTGGGTAGCAAGCAACCCCCGAAAAGTGCGACACACAGAGACGAGAGCCAACCCCTAAGCGGAACGGAACACGAAACACGGAACGGAGCGAAGCGATGCGATGCGAAGCGGAGAAAAAGAATTGAAAGAACCAACCCCCGTGCAGCAAAAGCAGCAGCAGCCGCCCCAAAAATGCTGCTATATATCAAAGTGTGTTTGTGTGTGTGTGCGTGCCACATACATATACATGTATGTACTGCTGCGTGTGCGTGGGTATCTGTGTGTTAAGCCGCAGCATTGTTTGCTTTGTCAGCCTCTCTATCTCTCTCTCACTCTCTCACTCTCTCTCTCTCTCTCTCTCTCTGTCTCTCTGTCTCTTTCCCTGTCGCTCCGTAACTTCGACTCGACTTTGGCTTGGATTCCTGCCTCCTCCTCTGCCTCTCCTTGCCACTGGAAATACATTGCTACCCCTGCTATTGTGCCTATCCCTCGTGCCACACTCTACACCTCTCCCTCTGCCTTTCTCTCTCTTTCTCTCTCTCGCCCTCTCTCAATCTGTATCCCTATCAAAAATTAATGAGTTAGTCATTTTGGTCATGAATTTATAAATTGAATAAAAAACTTCAACTTCAATTCCTGCCCGGCTTCAGCCTTCACTTTATTCCATTTTGCAGCTGCCACATTTCGTTTTTGTTGCTGTTGCCGTTGCCGTTGCCGTTTGCTGTTTTCGCTTTCAAAATGGTTGCCCCGTTTTTTTTTTTGTCGGTTTACAATTAATTGCAATTTGTTGTTTATTTTTTAAAAGATTTTTATATATTTATTTTCATAATTTTTACCTTGGAAGAGAGAGATATTGTCGTGTCGTTTAATTAACTCCACCTATAAATTTTTTGGCTGTTTTCTCAGTTGTATTTTTTATTGTTTTGTGATGCTTTTTATGGAGTGTTGTTTATTTTTGGCCAATTTATGATGTTTCCTGGAAGGTCTCGTTGTTTTTTTCTGTTGGTTCAGGGCTAAACTATCGAAGACCCCCACATTTTATTGGAAGTCTCTTTAGTACTTTTGATGTTTTCCATATTTGGTGATCAAAAATCGTTCCTAACACTTTTCACCATTCAATTTGGTATAGTTTTAATTATTTTACTTCTTGAGTGGAATTCTTAAAAGAGATCTCTTTTATTCCATGGTATATCTGGCATTTAAGGTATTTTTGAAAAACCTTTTCTCTAATCGATGGAATTTACTTATTTCGATTCAATATTGAATAAAATCCCAAAAAACTTGTACATAAATGCTGCTTTATCCCACAGATATTCACCTAGAATTCATTGTATCTTTCATCATTTTAAAGACCTACAACCAAGCATTTTCCTCATACACAGAGGTCTTTCTCTTCTTTTTTTTCAACAGAGGCCCGTCCTCTTTTGCAATCTCGTTTTTTGTGGCCAAACTCTTCCATCATACAATATCTCTTTCGCTCCAATCAAAAAGTTATATCACAAGCTAAAATTCTGTCAATTACTTTGCTTATGAAACAACAACAGAAATATATGAAAAACCATAAAGAAAATACTCGCAACAAAAAAAAATATTGATTACGAAGTATGAAATATTTTTGTCATTTTTTCTTTTGCTGTCTTTTTTGTGGGGGGAGTGTGGGGCCACAGAGTCTTTTGTTGGCGTTTTGTAGCCAATTTTTTGTGATTTTGGTCAGGTTTTTTTTGTGTTGTGTCATTTGCAGCGTCACCGAATGAGAAACCGAACGAAAAGAAACGAAACGAAACGAACCGAACCGAGAAACTGGAACTTCAAAGATAAAAAAGTGCCTCTGGAGACGGAGACTCTGCCTCATTATTCATTTTGACAATTTAACCTGATAATGATGCAATATCGATGCGAACTGACATTGAAAGGCAGGCTGGCTGGCAGGCTGGCTGGCAGGCTGGCAGGCAGGCAGGCAGCAGCCAAAAGATACTTTTGATACCGAGTTGTATATTTTGCGAAAGGATGCAGGGAGAACTTTCAGCACATTTGTTTCATGGGTTTCATGGGATAGATATACCAAAATTGTTCAGTTCGATATTTACCCCACATACCTTGGGAGAACCCAACGGCCTCGAGACCATGTGGGAGGCCGAAGGGACCCAAAGACGGCATCGGCATGCCCGGCGGCAGGGGCCCGTGCGGCACCGAGTGATGGGGATGCGGGCCGCCATAGCTGTGCGGATGGGGGCCCAAATCGCCAGATTTGAGGAAACCCGCCGCCATCAGGGCCTCTGTCGAGTGGAGCGCCACGTTGAAGCTGTTGTGTGTCCGCTCGCCACGTGCTGCAGCTATCTCCCCGAAATCAATCTTGAGACCGATCTAAGAGACGCTGACGGTGTAAGAACTCCTAGTATCCTTCCTTCCTTCTGCCGAAATCCAAGCTGGGACCCTCTCGATCTGTCGCCTCAATGGTTGTGTGTGTTTGAATGTATCTGAAAGTATGGAAAGAATGGAATGCAATATAGTTAGATGTCTGATAATCAATGATAAAACACCTCTTCTCATGCTCTTCTTATGCTACCCTCTTCGGAGCACAGTAAATACTCGCGATATTTACTTACAGTATTGCAAATTATCTTTTTGAAACTGGGAATATCTTGGAAAATGTTCTACTCTCCGATAAGTATTTGTTTGCTTATGGGTTAAGCTCTTGCCACGAGTTCCAATTACACTCTAAGATCGGTAGAGTACGAGGCTCAGACTTATAAAGGGACACCGAAACCAAAGAGTACGCTCTATCTGTCCCTCTCTATCTCTCTGTCTTGGTGGCCTAATCCCTGAGGTTTGCCGCCCTATTATGTAAAAACTTCTAATCTCTCCGTTTTCGAAGATTACCCAACGAGAACGCCCGCAAACGACCGACCGACGAGCCGACGAGCCGGCAAGCCGAACTTGAAGACGAAGTTCCTTCGGGGGCTTATCCTTGCGGTTTAAGATCTTTGATCTGCGCTTAGCCACAGGATTATTTCAGACACTTACTAAAACTGGTACTACGACTCAATAGACTGCTGGGACTGCTGATCCGCCGCTGCCAGGACACACACACACACATGACAGGACAATGGACGATGCATGGCTTAAGAGAGAGAGAGAGAGCCCAGAACCTGGATTAAAACTCTTTTGTCTCTAGGCTGTCTTCTCTCTATCTCTCTCTGTTTTCGTGCGAAAAAAATTAGCACTATCCCAGAGAAAGAGAAAGAGAGAAACAGAGACACAGAGACACCCATAGGCCGGGGGTTAAGAGGGGCAAAAGCAATTGCGGAATTAGCACGAACACCTCACTCTCTCTTCCCTCTCTCTCTCTCTCTGAACGTTTTGCCTTTTGTTTTGGAAATTGAAAACCCAGAAATCACCAAAAACTATTTGTCACTTCCCTAAAGAGAGTACAAGACCACGAGAGACAGAGATATAGGGATAGGGAGAGGACGATCCCTTGGATGCACCACATCCACACATCTCATTGTGGTGCCCTGTAAAATTTGTTTTGTTTTGTCATGTCGCTTTCATGGCTGACTGAATATCGCATGAAGGATGGAAATGCAGCCCGCAAAAACCACTCCACTCCACTCCACTCCAGAAAAAAAGAGAAACCAAAACCTCGACCCTGATATAGCACCCGATACCCCCCGAAGGACAGACAGACAGTCCTGTTGCCCAAATTACATGCTCACGCGCACACGCAAATTAATAACGCATCTGTCTTCAATTCGGGGAGAGAGACCAGCGGCAGCGAGCAGTTACCGTTATCATATTTAGTACAAAACGCAGCCACACTAAACAGGGATGTAATCGATGAATGATCGATTAAAGGAAATCAAATTAAAATCAAAAAAAACTAAGTGTTTAATTGGTGTAGGAACTAACTACCATCGAGCGGACAATAAAATTAACTAGATCTAGTATATTCTATGTTTGAATAATTTCTGTTTAGAGAAATGATATGGATCCATTCATTCCGAAAGTGGTTCAAAGATAATTGTCTTATATTTTCGGACATTTTCTGTTTTGTTTTTTTGTTGGGAACCTAATTTCCCATAGAAACCATTAACAAAAACAGAAAAAAGCTTCAGAAAAAACAAAAAACCGAGAAAGAAAAGAACTCCCGTCGAACTCTCAGCATCTGTCAAAACCGAAAATTGTCGGAGCCCCAGAAATGTGTCACATTTTTTGTGTGGATTGAAACTGCGACTCACACGGAAGACGGGGCTCTACTACGTGATTTTCTAGTCATTTGCCGCTGGCATCGGTGTCTCGCTCACTCGCTCGCTCGCTCGCTGGCTGGCTCTTTGTGTGTCTCTGTGTCTCCCTCCCTCGCTGATTATGAAAAATCATGGTAAATGGCAAAAAGAGCAAAAAAGAAGGCAGGCAAGGCCCCGCTGGCTCTGGCTGATCCATTGTGATGGTCGGTCTCCTAGGGGGACCGCCGAAACGAGGCGGGACAAAATCATTTGAACTGGATATATATCACGTACAGAGAAGACACTTTCATTATATATTCAATTTTCGGCAATTTCTGATGATGATTCTTCTGTGGATCGTATCACTTTCGGTTTCAGTTTCCGGGCACGACAATATTTGATGTTATTTTCCTCCCGCGCTAGACAGAGAGCCAGAGTGAGAGAGAGAGAGAGAGGCGACTCACTCACGTAATTACGGTCAAAATAATATTTGTGCACAAGAGTTTTGAAGGTAAACAGCCGCGAGGAAAACAAAACATAAAACACACACAAAATAATGCCAAGAAATCCAGCTCCAAATTGAAGATGCCAGCTACCGTATGCAAGAGATCACTGGATCGATGGATCGTTGGATGGACCCGACCCGCACATCGAAACACTCTCTGAAGAACGGTAGTGTTTTTGTTTCTGATGCTGGCCGGCCCTGGGAAAGTCTCAGGCAGAAGACAGAAAAGAAATCGCTAGCCACTTGGCTACTGTTCATTTGGGCCATGGGAAGATTTCATCTACCATTCGAACCATACGAATTTCGGATGATTAATGGTCCCGTCCCCCCAGACTTTGCATAACTTTTGGCTATCTTTATTTCTGTCTTTGCCCCCGTGTGTCGCTGACTAATATATAGTATCTTTAGAGCGTGCGAGTGTACGCTTATAACTCTGTTAGTCAGTCACGAGAGATCAACTTTGGGGCCGCCACTGTGTGTGCAGCTGTCAGGAGTGCTAACCTGTCAGTCGGTTCGGTTGTGGCTCTGTGGCTCTGTGGCTCTCTGGCTCTGTGGCTCTCTGGCTGTTGTGGTAGCTACACAGCCACTGGATATCTGTGGCTCAGTGGTTGTTGTAGTCGGAGCTATTAGTTGCCTTAACAAGCTCTATAACAACTTAATATGCCCGGGCACATTGCACATATTCTACACTCTACTGCAGAGGTTTTGTTTCCTTTGCGTATGCGTATGCGTATGCGTACTGCCTGAGTGTGTATGGGTGAGCTTTCTTTTTGATCATTGTCCTCTCTAAGAAAGCTCAAAGCTTCTCCTATGCATGAGCCTTGTGTGTGTAAAAGCTCCTTTATATATTTATTCTTAGCCAAATTAATTGATAAAGCTGATTTCTTTAAACAAAAAACCATTTGCAACGTTTTTTGTGATTCTATGATCATTGAGCCACTGATCATTTAGAATATATTAGCTAGAAACTAAACAATGCAACTTAAAGTCAAAATATGATCGATTCTTAAAGTAAATATATATGTAGGTATATTCTTGGCTTCTATGACAGCTATCCTCTTCTCTGCCAAATTGTATGTAGCCCCTGAAAATGTTGTTGTGTTGTTCTTTGCTGTTGAGTGTAAGCCTGATATTCGCGTTATGGCCGAACCGGGGGAGAGGCACGAAACAGATGAAAAATGCATTTCTCAGGCTCATTTACATTGAGCCACAGCTACTGGAATATGGAATACTATATGGGAGAAGAAACTGCAGACTGCAGACCGCTTCTAGCACTACCATTCGGAGACCAAGTCGGACTCTGGTCTAGCATAATAAGCCTGTCTGTCTCTCTGTCTGTCTGTCTGTCTGTCTGTCTGTCCGTCTGTCTGTCCGTCTGTCTGGCTTTTTGTGGCTCTGTCTCTGTCTGAAAATAATGCAACTTAATAAATGCAACAAAGAATGAGGCAGCAGCAGCAAAAGCAGTCACGTCCCGAAAAACAGGTAATGGGAATGGAGCTCTCTCGGAATGGAGGATGGAGTGGAGGAGGATGAGGATGAGGAGACCATTTCTACGCAAATGCATTTTGACATTTAAATTTGCAATTTTCGCATAAAATTATATTTATTTTGTGTGTTGTTGTTGCGGTGAAAATTGCAACCTTGCTGCCGCTGTTGCTGCTGCGAGGATCACGACGATGTGATGTTGATGTGGATTCCAGCTACTGACTTTGACGTTGACGTTGCCTGAAGTTTAATTAAGCAACGTGCCAAATAATTGAAAAAGTGTGAAGATTTGACAAGTTTAAGACGCATTAAAAACATATATATGGCCTAGAAATCAACTGACACTACTCGTAGATACGGCAGATACTTGTATTTGCTGCTCTGGCGACAAGTTTTTTCCATCCATACCCCATACTGTACGCCATACCGTACGGTACGGTAGAGGTTTTTTTAATTAGTTTTTTCTATGGGGGGAATGCTTATGCTTTGCTGCTTATCACATGGCAAATTATTTATTATTTACTTAATCAAATTGACACTTGAGCAGCGTTTGCCAGTGATTAATAGATGCTAGCAGGAGATTGCTCAATCAAAATGATTGCGATTGGGAAACCAGCCGATTCGCCCATTGCCAATTGAAGGAGAGAGGGAGAGAATGCAGGCCAGGACTGGTTCAATCACAGTGATTGGAGGGGACCACAAAGAGAGGAATAAGTGCCCAAAACGCTTTTCCATTTTCCATTTTCCATTTGCAATTCCATTTGCCAGTCCCTGAATAATTGCAAATTAATTAAAATATTGCCAACACAACAAATCACTTGAGAGATTGAGTAGAGGATTGGCTCGGCCAATTAACGATTTGTTATGGTTGATATGATTCGAGTGGAGAACTGATACTGATAGTTCTTGGACATATCTTAGCATCCTTTAGCATCTGAAATCTACACTTTCTTTTGCTCCATTCATATCTCTTCCAGTAAATGTACCATAAAATTGTTTCTAATTCAAGAAATATTCGGGGGTATTACACCACTTGTCATTCTCCGTTCCGCCCAATTCCATTCACAGATACAACGAATTGTAATGGATAAAAATTGAATGAATTGCCAGCAGAGCCAGCAGAGCCAGCAGTGGCAGTGTTTCGCCTTCAGAGTTGTACGAGTACAAATGATTGCATCATTGAAAACAGACACAGAAACAGAGACCCAGAGAAATAAATCAAATAATAGACTAATAGAGTAAAGAGCTCTCGGCGATCGGTGATCGGTGATCGGCTGTAGACTGGTCACAACAACACAGAAAACCTTATTATTTGACGCATTGTCAATGTGATCTTGATATGAAATGAAACTGGAAATGGAAATGGAACCCCGTCTCAGAGCAGGCATCAGGCATCAGGCATCACATCTCAGTGTGTCTGAGTGTCTGAGTGATTTCTATTTAAATGGCTTTGTCAACGAAATTTGAGAAGCAACAACTACGCGTACGCGTAATGAGCAAAGAGTGAAGAGAGATAAAAATTAATAATACAAATAATTGGGTACAAAAATCAAGAAAAAACCAACGAAAAACGAAACGAAACGAAACGAGACTCAATCCGTACGAAACGAAAACCTCACCTAGGGCGAGGCACGGCATGGCAAGGCAAGGCAAAAGATTGACAAAAGATGACGACCAAAACAAAAAAAAAGAAATACAAAATACAAAAATCAAAAATCAAAAAAGAGTAAAACCCGATCAGGTAGGTTTCCAGAGAGTGTTGTGTGTGGGAGTCTGAAAACTGTGAAAGACTGGAGACTGGAGACTGGAGACTGGGGCGTGCTATGGTGCCACAATGGAAGCCGTTCGGTTCCGTTCCGTTTGCGGTTCGCAGTTCGTGTCGCTGTGGGGATATGAGGGATAGATAAGCTATCAGAGGTGTCGCGACGCGATCTCTGGGGCTCCAAAGACTTCTTTCAATTCACAATTGCCAACCCTCTCTTCAGGCGGATGTTGTGAATGAAATGAAGTTGATTGAAATTGGCATTCAGGGGGATTGGGATCTAAGCCTAGGAGTCGCCGCTTCACGGTAGTTGCGTGGGTGCCAGAACAGATCCATAGAGATCCCCAAACTCCACTTCCACTGTCATCCCAAAAAATTAACTTGCATATTAATTTTAGTGTGTGTTTCTTCTAGCATACAGACATACAGACATACATCGTACATATATGCAAATTAATAATACAGAACAACACAGATGGAAGAGGAGTCAACGTTTTATTCAGATATTTTAATTTATAGCCGCCGCTTTGAAATTAGAGAAAGACTCAGATACAAGATACAGCAGCAGCGGCAGCAGCACCAGGAGAGGGGGCACAAAATATGTGTGAATAATGTGACCTGAACGGGTCCGCCGTCGGTCGGTCCATCGGTCCATCGCTCCATCGATGCTGCTGCTGCTACCTCTATTGTATCTAATATTAGACCTCTTTTTTAGGGTCTTATTGTTGTAGTATATTTGTGCTCATACGCATATACTCGTATATATTCGGTATATTTTTTGTATCGATCTTTGGTTGAATGTTTTGCCTAATTAACGGCCAAGGGAGGCGGCCTTAATATGCCCATTAAAATTATGAAAATCATAACGAATTTCAGATTCAAAAACTGGAGACTGGAGACCGGAGACCGCTTTGGTCTTGGATTTTCTCACATTATGATTTGGATATTAGTCATAGGTGGAATTTCCTGTGAACTGCAAAGAACTTCAACAGAAGAGTGGAAAGGAAAGGTCAAGGGGCGACTTCTAGGGCATAGATAATTGCTTGGGGTTCCCCCTCTGCCTGAATGTATAAAGATTTTTGCAATGGGTTGCCAGAAGCTGACAAAAGAAGTCGCCACTAGAGATTAGTGGAACACTTATAAAAGATCATCATTTTAAAGATCGTGTGCCACAGAATGGTTAGTGGTAGAACATAAAAGATAGTCATGGAGAAAACTATCTTTTTGTGTAATGAATAGTTCATGTTTTAAGGGTATTCCTCTATCTATCAGATGTCTCTTTGAGAATCAATATTACGGATCATCAAAGAGTCGGAGTGTTGGGGATCTCTTATAGATATCTGTGAGATACAAATATCCAAGGTGGATAAGGTATCCACCCCAACTACTTAAGGCTATATACATAAGTACTATTTATCGATCGAATCATGTTAATCCTAGGTAATATAATCCTTGCTTCATTCTTGCCGCTTTCCGCGATCCGTGAGAGTTCAGTTCAGTTAATGGATTATATGGATATGGATTGTACGTTGTCGCCCGACATGGAAGACAGAGATATATGGAACACTCACCGAAAAAAAAAACACAAACAGAACGATCTCTGATCGATCGTAGGCGACTAGGATGGATCGTTGGGATCGTTCGGATCAGATCGTATAATATATATTCCAATTTAGGATCCAGATATTCTGCGGTACATTCGGGTTTATGGCTGCAGTTGTTTATTGTTTGAGGGTTGAGGAGGCACTGGTTACACCGTAAAAAAACATATCCCACACATAGGACACGGACACACACGATATGCTGATCGATCGACTGCTGAACTGAACTGAACGATCGGTTATCGGTTATAGTTGTATATCTTTTGTTGCTTTTGTTGAAGAAGTATCTTGTATCTTGAATCTTGTATCTGCTGTATCTTTTGTTGTGTTTCACGCACTTTCTTATGGTAGAATGAAATGTTATTTTGTGGCTTCTCTTTTTTTGTTTGTTTGTTTGTTTTGGCGACGGCGAACCTTTTTGTTGTTGCTGCTTGCTGCCGCTACGCACGGCGAGAGAGGCAAAAGCGCGGCGAAAACTAACGGTGAACGGTGAACGGTGAACGGTGGAACGTTGAACGGTGCTCAATGGAACGCTGAACGAGAGAGAGACGGTGTGTGAGCGAGCGACGAACGCACTGACAACCCGAGCGGCACGAATGTATCTTTGGAACTGATTTTCGTGACACCTTCCAGCGGACAAACGGCGGCAGAGCACAGCAGAGCACCGTAGCAGCAGCGTACCAAAGCAGAGCAGAGCAGAGCAGAGCAGAGCAGCGACGCAGCAGGCGGCGGCGGTGGCGGTAGCAAAAGTCGCTCGACCAGATACAAATGCAGATACTCACAGCTACACGAATGCGAGTGCGAGTCCAACAACAACACGCACACACCCGACGAACCTCAGCCGACCGGTTCGTGTGTGTTCGTGCAGCCAACCAACACCACCAGCAGCACCTTGTGGGCCAAAGCGAGAGCGCAACACTTTTAGCAATGGCTGACGCCGCGCTCGGCTCAATCCGAGCGATCGTGCAAGGGAGATGGCCGTACATAGATGGGCTTGCTGGCTGTGTCGTCGCAACCGTAACCGTAACAGAAACAGCTAGACAGCTAGCTGTCCCGCTCTGGCCCTGGCGCATGCCAGCAGCAAGTGCAAGCGGGACGACAGCTTGGAGCCAGCATTCGAGCAGCTGTATTTACCTATGTGTTGTTGCTGTCTTCTCTGCTGCTGTTGCTGCCTGCTTTTTATGTGTGCGTGTGTGTGTGTGCGAGTGTGTGGTTGAGAGTGGAACCACACCCCAAATAAATAAACGCTGCCGCCTCTTGCTTGCTTGCTCCGCTTGCTCCCCCCTCACCGGCCCCCTCGACCCAGGCCTGGCAGTCGGTTCAACAACTTTGTTTTCACACAAACAACAACAACAGCAACAACAGAAAGTAGAGAAAAATAAGAAAAATTGGTTCCTTTTGGTAGTTTTGCGCGCGCCAGCAATGAAATTTTAATGAAAATGACAGCAGACCCAAAACACCGCCAGAGCGGAGGAAAAGCGTAAGACAGCGCTGAAATTTGTTACCAAAAGCAAGCCAGCCAGAAGACGAGGACGAGGACGAGGACAAGAAATAGACGCCTGAAGAATGGTGGGGCTGCTTGTGGGGCGTGGGGGAAGGGCGCTGCAAAGGACGTTGGTCAAAAATTGTCATGCAGGGAGAGAGAGAGAGAGAGAGAGAGAGAGCGCCAGGAGCTACAAGAAAAAAACCCGAACAACGACAGGCAGGCGGTACCCCCTCCCAAACGTAAGGGGCGGCCCTGGCCCTCTATTGTTCAATTATCATTCACTCAAGCAAACAGCCGAGGAATTCGAAACTCCGATTTAATTCGATTTGGTTTCAATAATGATGCATCATGCGCTCTCGAAAGGGTTTATGGCTTGGGTTTAGCCTTGCCAAGAAAGGAGCCTGCCAGAAAGGGTACCGCCCGCAGGATAATTATGGTAATGAGGAGTGCGGATTGGACTTGAGATCAGTCTGTTTTAATGATGACTTCACCTGAGAGTCAAAACAGAGAGAATTATTGCTGAAAACAGAGCAAACCCCCCCTCTAAATTATCCTATTTCCTTCAGTGTGAATCCTGATTTGCAGCTCCATCATGAATGATAGCCAAGCGACCAACCAAAGACCAACAAAAACCATATCGGTTCTTTTTTGCTCAGCTTTTTTCTCAGCTGACGCAGGAAAACAAACAACAACCAAAAAAAAAAAAAATACAGTTCAGCGAAAAAAACCTTATCAAATTTTTATGACAATTTGAAAATAGCTGACGACAGTTGTTGCCCCCCCTCCCCCACGGCCACGCAGTGAGTTGGGGTGGTGGGGTGGGTGGTGTTGCACAAATATTTTATGGATTTTTCTTGTTAAAACTTTGCTGTTTTTTTGCCTTTCGCAATTTTCTCATTTTCATTTTCAGGCTGGCAAATGAAATTGTTGCGGCTAATTGATGTGTAGATGCAACATGGGGCAATTACCGCCCCTCCTCCAAGAGGCGGGCTGTTTTCGAAAGTGCGGGATGGCTGGGAATACAGTTATCGCAGCTTAGCATACAGTTCGGGGCATCCAGCTCCCCCTTGCACCAAAAAAAAAATGGTGAAAATTTATTGGAAACTTTAAAATGTTTTGGAAGAAGAGGGCGATAAATGGAAAAACAAATTAAATTTTAAACGAAATAAAATGCCAATGGATATGCATTTTTAATTAATCATAGAAAGAAAAATCAAATAAATTTGTGGCTAAGAATTAAAGCTAGCATCAAACAGCTAGAAATCTTAGAGATAAATTGTTGTGATATTAAACGAAATTGCGGTTTAAAATCTCCACCCATCTCCCGTCGCCGTCGCAGCTCCTTCGCGGTCGATGGCTGCGAGCAGCTCACCAGCAGGGTGATCCTGATCTTGATCCCCAGCAGCCCTGACATCGATTTGATCATCATATCATATACATTTTTCAGTGTACTTTTAGGCCAGAGTATAGCTTTAAATGTGACAACAGAACGATAAAGAAGTGCACATGTAGATACTCTTCTATGAAGTGCATGGATACAATATATTATCGTAATTTGTTTCTATGGGCTTAGAAAACAAAAGAAAGATTTGTAGAAGGCCCTTCTTCATCTATCTCTCAGCTGCAATTTACATAGTACATATTTGATGTATTTTACAGGTTCCTCTGCAGCCAAAAATCATCCAGAGATGGTCTGTATAATCTGCATGCCCTCGGTAGAGGGTATACCAAAAACATGCTCACAAAACAAATGATTGCAAAATGAAAATTCTCAAACAAAGATTGCACGCGCACACGAACAAATATATAGCACACGGACATACATACATATATAGATTTGTGGTATTTTTTTGGTTTTTTTTTTTTATGCAGTATTTTTTCGAAAAGTTCGCCGCCATTTGCCCCGAACATTTTTCATAGGCGACAGTTTTGATTGCTTTGTGTGTGGATCGTGTGCAAGTGGATGTGTGGGGGAGGGGGCAGGGCTGCGGGGGTGTCTATGTGTGGGCGGGGAGATGTGGCAGTGCCAGGGACAGCTTGTGGCATCCACTGCTGTACTGCTGTGCTGCTGGGCTGTGCATGTGGGTGTTCGTTCGGTTCGGTGTGGGTTTCAGGTTCAGGTTTTTCTCTCAGGAGAAGGAAACTTTGCTTGGATTTCATTTCATTTTATGTGCTTCGTGCTGCGTGGTTCTTTTTTTCTTTTTTTTTTGTTGTATTTTTTTTGGTGCTTTTTTTTAGGTGCCGTGCTGCTGGCTGATTAACGACAATTCGTTTGGCTGATTTTTTATTGCCTTGCAACTGGCAGTGGCACATTCATTAGGCCACGCTGTCGTAGGCGCGTGGCATGCTGCCATGCCGCATGGGGCACAAGGCTCTACTCTACTCTATTCTACTCTTCTATCCGTGGGCCAGTAAATTTCATTAGCCCCTGTGAGCCGTTGTCTTTTTTTGTCTTCCACAGGCAGCAGCCTGCCTGCCTCCTGGAGGGGCATGTTAGAGGCGTATGTGTGTGCGAGTGGGTGGTGTATATGGGCCTCGGGACCCCCTCTCCACAAGTGTGGGCGTGGCATAAATAGCCTGATTAAGCTGCCAGCAATCGTAACCAGGCAACGGCAACAGCAACAGCAAACGGCTCCATCAAAGTCCTCTTCGCAAAACGCAAGAGAGAGTGAGAAAGGGAGAGATTGGTAGGGTTTATATTACAATAAATACATATATACATATATATATATATATGTGAATATATGTACATATATTTATAATGATATTGCGAAAGCAAATAATCCGTGCACATGGACTTTACGACATCCATCCACTCAAGGAACAAAAATAGAGTGCGCTTCTGATTAAAAAGAAAATGTTGCACATTCCATGGACTACGACTTACGACATACCAACTCTGAAGTTTCCTCTTCTACGATTCAATTTGTAGAATTGCAAGCACAGTTCATCTCTCTATAGAGAATCAAAGGCTTTTTTAATAGACTACCAGACTTTTCAGCATTTCAAATCTAAGATGTTCCTTCCATAACATCTGAAAGATACATATGTTTAGCTAATAGTTGGATAGTTTTTTCCAAGAATCATTAACAATTTCCAAGATTTTAAATAACCTTTGACTGGTTCTTCCCATAAATGGAAAAATGTTTATGCTTCCTCCCATCGAAATGTGGAAAGTAGTATATTAATCACGAGCCCCGAACAATACATCAAACATTCGAATCCCAAAATGAAACCAGTTTAAATCAATATAAATGTCAAGAGATCAAGAGATGAGAGTCGAAGGAGAAGGAGAATGAGAATGAGAACAGACAGAGGACAGACTAAACAGAAGCCCAAAAACCGAAGAAAAACAGAAGCCCAAAAGCCTTGGCTGAAGAGAAGGGAATTATTGGAATAACTGAAGGAAAAAAGGGGCAGCAAAGGTGGCAGAAAAGTGGCTGTGGAATGGATTGGATGAAAGGATGGCAAGTGCCATGCCATGGAAGGGAATTGAGATCGAGAGCAGATCAGGCGGCGGGTTCGGTTCGCATTTCTTTCTTTCATTAAAACGAGCAGGCCTCTGTTTAGGCCCAAAAGGATCAATGCAGCTGGTGGCCGGGGGAGGTACCGCCGAGAGAGCCAGCCCAGCGGGATAGATGAGGCACAGGCACAGAGAGACCACCGTTGTGCGTGGCTTGATGATGATAATGGTTTACTTTTATACTTTTTGATGGTTTTATGATGCGGTTAAGCGCTCGAAACCGCAAAGTGGCCGAGCCGGGCCGCGTCGCGCACACGACGCTCCTCAGGCAAAGGACGACGACGACGACGACGACGACTAGCAGGCAAAGGACTTTCGCGTAAGCTGCACAAGTTTTTGGGTAATGCCTCGACTTGAGTACCAGTACCTGCCGCCAGCCCGAGAAGGACAGGAGTCCTTCGCAGCGTCCTCCGCCCTCGACCTAGCCTCGCCTCGCCTCGCCTCGCGTGCGACATGGCTAAAGGATTAACCGCATGCCGTTGCCAGGACTGTGGACTTGGGACACGGACTTGGACATGAACGTGGACGTGGACGCGGACAGTGCTGCGGTTAGCAGGAT